ATCTTTGGATGACGAAGAAGTGGGGCCAGTTGGTAGTTGACTGCATTGGCTTTTTGAACTCTAGCCTGTATCTCTTTATCGAGTCTTCCATCTTCTGTAAATATGCATCCTAAGTAATTGAATTCTTGAACTTGTTCTAATTGTATGTCATTGATCTTTATGTTTACATTACTGTGTTTCTTTCCTATGGTCATTACTTCAGTTTTTGAGGTGTTTTGTTTTTCATGTCAAATTTTGTACAATTATTGAGCAATGAATCAACATGTTGTTGTAGGTTTTGTTCTTCTTCTTGTAACAAACATTGGACATCTGCAAAAAGTAGTTCATTTATAATATCTGTGTTTTAGTTTGACTCCTGTGCAATTTTATCCATATATGTGATGAAGAGTAGGGGTGATTTGACAAAAGAAGGGAGATAACTGTGAATAATTAAGCTATAACAAAAACACTTGGTTATCTGCCTTACTTGTATTGACACATGTACAAGCACTTTCCCAATGGAAATTTACTCTAGTTAGCAAAATAATTATTTCCCTAAAGTAATTAACTTTATAATTACTTTCTATCTGTATGTCTGTCTGTCTGTATGTCTGGCTGTTTATCATTCTATTTATCTTTCCTTCTGTGTTTGTCTCTGTCTATTTATCAATATGTCTGCTTGTGTGTCTATTTGTCTGTCTGCCCGTATCTCTATCTGTCTCTCTGTCTTGTTAGTTCGTTCTGTCTGCCTGCCTTCCTGTCTGTCTGCCTGCCTTCCTGTCTGTCTGCCTGTCTGCGTGTAATATGCATCGACGGGACTGTAGTTCAAGTGGTAGAACGCTGGCTAAGCCTGTGAGAAGTACCGAGATCGCTACCCGGCAGCTCCACATTTCAAAGTAATACGGGCCTATGTGCCCAGTTTAGGAACCTATGAAAACAAAGTTCGTTTGTGTTTTATTGTGTGTTCCCTCTCTCGCAACATTGTCCGATGTTTTAAAGTCGGTGTATGTGGGGAAATGAGCAGGCAGATAGACTGGCCGGTTCTGTACCTCTTTGTGGTGAACTGATGTATGACAAGCTGGATGTTGTAAGGGCCCTTTGGGAGCGAGTGAACAGTGCCGAGGAACAGATAGATCCTTACGGTCTACGGAGAATGGCGCTGCGAGGAGTAACCAGAGGATCTGGCCGGCGGTCAACACTCAGGGGAAAGGCGAGACAGATATACAATCAGACAGTTACTGGTACTATCTGAATGTTAACTCTTCGCTTGCTGCTGAAAATGGGGACGGGGCGTTTATGGGTATGTCACGAGTGCTGTGATGTCGATTCTTAGTTCAACATTCAACATTACAGTGGCACTGTGAATGTGCTGACAGATCAACAGACAACCCGACACATTATTCAACATATTACACATTATTATTCGATGTTCTCCTATCTTGTTTGTTACCAAACCGTCCAAGCGAGACCGTGGCTTCAATAAAAGCAGTAACATACATCAAACGACCGATCACACCTGCGTAATCCGAGACGGAAGTGTTGTTTATGATACAGTTCTCAAGAATCTGAAGCCAGGTATGTTGAACTTTTTTACTGATTAGTTTTGTCTCTCTCCAAATATCCAGAAACCATGAGTTGTTAACCCTTTGGCTCGGTACTATGGATATCGCAACCCTTGATTTCCTGATAGATACCGTAAATCTGTTAGAAATTTGGCTTTTCTGCCTACCCCCGGGCGTGAACCTGGACCACAAGGAGTTCACCACCCGGTCGCCGCGTAGTCAGGTTTAACCAACTACGCTAGCGAAACTGGCTAACTTTCTTACTGAAAAAAGGGGAGGCGGGTGGGGGGTGGGGAGGGGGGGGGACTAGAAGCTGAAACTTTTAAATACCTCGGTTTCAACATATGCAACGGGGGCTGCGTGGTCTCGAGGTATAGTGTCCGCCTCGAGTGCTAGTGGTCCCGGTTTCAAGCCCCTGTGAAGGTTTGGATTTTTTTCAGTTCAAGTGGACTTCTGGTAATTTCGGCTGGTCTCTGGGTAGAGAGATCGGACGCCCGCGTGTATTGTTGCGCACGTAAAAAATCCCTTGGCAGTTGGAAATCGGGCAACATTTGGAGAGAAAAAAAATCTACCTAAACTATTTATGGATCCTCGCCGGTGCTACAGAGCCCGTGCACTGCACTGAGTCTAGGAGTATAAGAAGTTTAGTCAGGTAAAATTTATTTTTTAGGGAGGGAGGTTGTGGGGGGGGGGGGTCCAGCCAAAACAGCCCCACAATAATGCATAGACTCTCTTTTTACGTTTTTATTTATACAAATTACTGTTGCTTCTTCATCTTCTTCTTCGTCTTCTTCTTTGTGACCCTATGAAAATAAAGTTCGTTCGTTCGTTCGTTCGTTCTTCTTCTTCTTTTTCTTCTGCTTCCTCTGCTTCTTTTTCTTTCTTGTTCTTTTACAGATGTGGCTTATTTACATGCAGAGTCTGGTTCATTGCCTATCGCTCAGATACACCGCGACTTGCAAGCAAACATTCCTCATAACTGGACTTTCGCTATAAGCCTTGTATAGGGCTGTGGCTCTATTCACTCCACCCCACCCACACACCCACATACACTATGGAGTCCTGGAATCCACAAGGGGGTATACATACAACATGTTTTTCTTTTTCTCTCTACCTATATGTGTCATGATGTTTTCTCTCTATCTATATGTGTCATGATGTTTTCTCTCTATCTATATGTGTCATGATGTTTTCTCTCTATTTATATGTGTCATGATGTTTTCTCTCTATCTATATGTGTCATGATGTTTTCTCTCTGTTTATATGTGTCATGATGTTTTCTCTCTATTTATATGTGTCATGATGTTTTCTCTCTATCTATATGTGTCATGATGTTTTCTCTCTATCTATATGTGTCATGATGTTTTCTCTCTATTTATATGTGTCATGATGTTTTCTCTCTATCTATATGTGTATTGATGTTTGCTCTCTATCTATATGTGTATTGATGTTTTCTCTCTATCTATATGTGTATTGATGTTTTCTCTCTATCTATATGTGTATTGATGTTTTCTCTCTATCTATATGTGTCATGATGTTTTATCTGTATCTTTTAAACAGTGGGGACTCCGCTGAAACAGTCCCTGTCTGAAAGCAGAGCAAGCAAAAAAAAAATCAACAGCAGTACCAGCATCATCTGATGAAACAACACTTTCAAACAGCTTACACGGAACAAGCTCAAACAGCAGAAACTGGTGACAGCTCAAACACTGATCTAATTAATTAATCTTGTTGTCCCTTTGGCGAATTCCAAGCATATCCAACATCTACAGCGGACTAAGTGACACACATACCAGAAATTCAAGACTTCTTGATAGCGATACACATAACACAACAACCTGATTTGGAAGTTCATGGGAGCATCAGGCCTCAGAACAAAAAATCTACTTCCAAAATCCAAGAATATTGAGAGATAGGTCTTTAAAACTGTTTAGAGAGACATAACACCGAGACGGAAAAAAGAGAACTGCTCCAGATGAAATTACAAGGAGTAAGACATCTTTACAGCAACAGTAATAGAAATACACAACAGAAGCACTTGTTACACTTCATCAAGTACAGGAAGTACAGTTTGAACTGCCCGCGAAAGTAGGTCACACACAAAAAAAACAATAGTTGCGAAGCCTTTACAGAACACGGGAAACCCACACGTGCATTTGTTGTATGTGAGTTTGCTAGGCAGTTTTAGTTTGCCATTGCTTTCTCAACGATCGGTGGTCATATCGTTGACGAAATCAAGGTCAGCTGCTAAACTGTAGGAATGTTATGTCGAGCTCCTTAAACCGCCCAAAAGAAACTGCATATCCTTTGCAGAACATTGCAGAACCAAGCCCAGTTAGTTTTTCTAGGCAAATTTACGTTCAGTAGTTTGCCACTGCTGTCTAAATTGTCGGCTTTCGAGTAACGATTTTCGAACCAACGCAGGCGGCCTGCTGCCAAATCGCCCGATTCTGCTATCGAACCCGCTACCCCGGCATTACGAAGCGCCTTCTCAACGATTAAGCCACACAAGATCAACAAAAGAAACTACAAGTCTGTGGAAAACAACCTAATGAGATTGGCTAAAATAGAACTTGTTAAGCTGCATATACAAATCTAACGGGACGAAGACGTGTTTACAGTAGAGCCCACACAACTTTCATACAGGCCTGTTGAACATCTTCAAGCATCGACTCATCTAACACTTGAAGAAATTAACAATCAGAACAGCTTTCAAACAGCACGGCATCAATCAGGAGGAGTAGACACAAAGATACTTGAAAAAAAGTATATGAGTTAAGGTGATTCAAGAACCGATCACATAACACTTCAGAAGCCAGCGTAGAGTTAAAATACCGATGGTGCCAGTAGCAGTCTGAGTATATCACCGTCTTGCCTTTCCTCTGAGCGTCGAGTGTCGGCCAGATCCCCTAGTCACTTCTCGCTGCATCACTCTCACCAGACTGTGATGATCCATTTGCTGTTCTGAACTGTACATGTGAAACAGTGGTACGGTGACTTCGTTTCTAACAGACACACTACAATTGTTCTAGAAAAGATGCCCCCACAACTCGCTTTACAGCGAAGCTGATATCACCACAGTCCTAGATTTAGCTTTAAGCTGAATAAGCTACAATTTAGGGCCTCATAATATGCAGGGGTCTCAGTTCCCCCTACCTTAAACACAAGTTTCTTTACATACAATTAAATATAATTTTCTTTTAATATAATTTAAACTTTTGCACACTGAAACTTGTTTACAGTTTTAAGATAAAGCATTTGAGAGGATTATATAATATTAAGAAGAAAACAACATAATATTTCCATTATCCATATATTAAAAAGACGTTTACATTTTAAAGTTTCTGAGATCAGCTGGTATAATTTAAAACTGTAGGGGCCTCAGGGCTTTATATACTTTGGGGCTTCATCAAGTCTAAATTCGGCCCTGTCCGCCGAGGCATCACGGACGCTCCAAACATGCCCGACATTGATCACGACGCTTTGTCCAAGGCAACCAAGGTACTTTGTGTGTTGTTTATCGTCATCGTCTGCTGCATCAACGCGTTTCTTATCTTCATCGTCGCAAGAAAACCCAGGTTCGTGTCCTCCCCTTGGTGCCTTATGTTGATCTCCTTGTCCATCGCTGACATCTTCCTGGCTCTGTTCTCTCTGGTTGTCAACGCCCGGCTTACCTACGAGCACACCAGTCTGCCATTCGGAACCAACCTCACAGCGCAGTACTACCAAACTTTCATCATCAGTTTTGTTTATGGCGTCGGATTAATCCTCATGGCCGTTGAACTAATACTTCGACATAGAAGACTAACTCCATTCCTCAAACGATACCTTGTTGTGGTGGCGTTTGCATTTAGTGCTCTCCCTTGGTTGGTAATGTTGGTGATTGATCTCCCTTTGATTCTGAGCGACGTAAACTGGGAAAAATCCCAGGTAGAGGGAACACCGGAGAGGTCCAGGGCGAAAATCTGGGTCTCTGTGCTGGTTCCAGCCATATTGGCCGTTGTGATATGCCTGGTTATAACATTTATTAATCTAGAACCAGTCATGAATACCCCAGAAACTGGGTACAGACTTTCAACACGATTTCTAGCGACAAGCCATGAGAGGCGATTTATACCTGATTACAATCACCACCACGTCCAACAATATCATCAAAGACAAACCATTAATAACTACCACACATCCCAACATGCCACCGAATCACAACATCCCAACAACCACCCAGCCGACGTAACTTTCCAAACACCAACATTGTCTACCACCAACGCTGTATCCGAAAAGTGTGTTCTTCTGTTTGTGGCTTTGATCTATTTCATCTGCGTCGTGCCGCAAGCGGCCTTGTTTGTTTCCGATTCTAAAATTTCGGTCCGTATATTTCTTATCCTACTTCACAGTTTTTACTGGATTTGTAATTTCAGATCCATTCTAACGCCAGCAATTTGGGTTTTTTACTGTGCTGAGTTTTAAAAATATTGTTCCAACGTTTTTTGTTTGTTTTTTCTTCTTGCATTCCAAGCGGTGTTGTATTTACATATTTATCTCAAAAAAGAAAAAGAAGAAAAGAAGAAGAAGAAGAAGAAGAAGAAGAAGAAGAAGAAGAAGAAGAAGAAGAAGAAGAAGAAGAAGAAGAAGAAGAAGGATAAGGAGAAGAAAGAAGACGACAGAAGAAAGAAGAAGAAGAAGAAGAAGAAGAAGAAGAAGAATAAGAAGGATAAGGAGAAGAAAGAAGACGACAGAAGAAAGAAGAAGAAGAAGAAGAAGAAGAAGAAGAAGAAGAAGAAGAAGAAGAAGAAGAAGAAGAAGAAGAAGAAGAAGAAGAAGAAGAAGAAGAAGAAGAAGAAGAAGAAGAAGAATAAGAAGAAGAAGAAGAAGAAGAAGAAGAAGAAGAAGAAGAAGAAGAAGAAGAAGAAGAAAAAAAGAAGAAGAAGAAGAAGAAGAAGAAGAAGAAGAAGAAGAAGAAGAAGAAGAAGAAGAAGAAGAAGAAGAAGAAGAAGAAGAAGAAGAAGAAGAAGAAGAAGAAGAAGAAGGAAAAGAAGAAGGATAAGGAGAAGAAAGAAGACGAAAGAAGAAAGAAAGAAGAAGAAGAAAGAAAGAAAGAAAAAGAAAGAAGAAAGAATGAAGAAGAAGAAGAAGAAGAAGAAGAAGAAGAAGAAGAAGAAGAAGAAGAAGAAGAAGAAGAAGAAGAAGAAGAAGAAGAAGAAAAAGAAGAAGAAGAAAAAGAAGACGAAGAGGGTGACAATTTGGAGGAAATGTGTTTGTATTATTGATCGATAAAAGTGGTTTGTGTGAACCAAAAACAAAAATCCCACCTGTATGCTGAGAATTATTCATACTGATAATATTTACACTTTTTATGTGTCCTCCCTCCACGCTTGAACTATATTCTGACGTTTGTTGATTGGCTGACTTCACAACAGTTCTTTGTACGTGTACATTTTGTGTGTGTGTGTGTGTGTGTGCATGTGTGTGTGTGTGTGTGTGTGTGTGTGTAAAGTTTAAAGTTCAGATCTAGTCTACATGATTTTATTATGTTGCTGTTTTGTTGTTGTTATTGTTGTTGTTGTTGCTGTTGTTGTTGGTGATGGTGGTGGTTTAAAGATTATGTTATTCCGAGTTGATGAGGTTCTGTGTTTAACTGTTCTCACTTCAGTACCCAGACATGTTGTTGCAGATGGCAAAGTTTGAAGAAGTTTGGTCGCCCACACCAGTCGGCACTGCTCCTAATAATAATAGTCATGATGATGATGATGATGATGGTAATGGTGGTGATGATGCTGATGATGATGATGATGATGGTAATGGTGGTGATGGTTGTGGTGGTGATGATGCTGATGATGATGGTAATGGTGGTGGTGGTTGTGGTGATGATGCTGCTGCTGATGATGATGATGATGACGTTGGTAATGGTGGTGATGATGATCCTGGTGATGATGATGTTAATCGTAGTGGTGATGATGATGACGATGAAATAATAAAGATGACGACGACGATTATGGTGCTAAGGATGGTGGTAATGAGGATGATGATGATGATGATAATGAAGATGATAATGGCCAAAGCCAAGGACGAGACGATCAACCTAATGGCACTGGGTGGCATGCCAAACGGCCCCGTCTCTCTCCGCAAAATGGCTAGCCGCCTGCCGAGAGCCTCGCACAAAGCACGATCTCTTAAGCTCTAGCAGCAGCCATAAAATTATACTCGTGAACTTAGCGACGCGCCTGTAGACGAACACACGACCTTAAGAGCGCGAGGCAAACGCCTTGACTACTTCGCTACGGAAAACCACTGGTGGTGAGGAGGAGGAGGGGGAGGGAAAGGAAAAAGGATACAAGGGTACGAAACACAACTATCAGGGGGGAGGTTGAGAGAAACAGGGGAGATAAGCAGAGACACCTAGGCAGAGAGAGAGGTGGGGGGGGGGCTGAGAAAGGCAGAGAGAGAGAGAGAGGTGGGGCGGCAGACAAAGGCAGAGAGAGAGGTGTGGGGGCAGAGAAAGGCAGAGAGAGAGGGGGGGCAGAGAAAGGCAGAGAGAGAGAGGTGGGGGGCAGAGAAAGGCAGAGAGAGATAGGTGGGGGGGGCAGAGAAAGGCAGAGAGAGATAGAGGTGGGGGGGCAGAGAAAGGCAGAGAGAGAGAGAGGTGGGGGGGGCTGAGAAAGGCAGAGAGAGAGGTGGGGGGCAGAGACAGGCAGAGAGAGCGAGAGGTGGGGGGCAGAGAAAGGCAGAGAGAGAGAGAGTTGGGGGCAGAGAAAAGCAGAGAGAGAGAGAGTGGGGGGGGGGCAGAGAAAGGCAGAGAGAGAGAGGTGGGGGGCAGAGAAAGGCAGAGAGAGAGAGAGAGGTGGGGGGCTGAGAAAGGCAGAGAGAGAGAGAGGTGGGGGCAGAGAAAGAGAGAGAGGTGGGGGGGCTGAGAAAGGCAGAGAGAGAGAGGTGAGGGGGGCAGAGAAAGGCAGAGAGAGAGGGGTGGGGGGACAGAGAAAGGCAGAGAGAGGCAGACGAAGAAATGCAGAAAGAGAGGCAGAGAGAGAGAGGCAGTGCAAGGCAGAGAGAGGCAGAGAGAGGCAGAGAGAAGCCGGGAGAGATCGAGAGACGGGGAAAGGCAGAGAGAGAGGCAGAGAGAGGCCGGGAGAGATCGAGAGACGGGGAAAGGCAGAGAGAGACAAGGAAAGAGTAGCAGAGAGAAGCAGAGAGGGAGTCAGAGAGGGGCAGAGACAGAACGACTGAACGAACAAACATTAATTTCAAAGGGGTAAATTTCAAACGTAGGCATGTCAAACATTATGAGCTTCCAGTTATGCATTTGTACATCGTTTCATAGTTAATAGTACTAGAAGTAACAGTGAGGCATATGGGGAGGGTCAGATAGAAACACAGACAGAGCAGAAAGAGGCATAGCGGTACAGTGAGGATAGAGAGAGTCAGAGAAAAACTGAGAGAGACAGAGAGAGGGGCAAAGAGAAGCAAGGAGTCAAATGGAGGCAGAGAGGATCAGAGAATGATAGGCATAGAGGCAGCGAATGAGGCAGATAAAGAGGCACAGAAAGGCAGATAGAAACAGATAGAGAGGCAGCGAATGAGGCAGACAGGGAGGCAGATAGAAACAGAGAGGCAGATAGAGGCAGATAGAGAGACACAGAAAGGCAGATAGAAACAGATAGAGAGGCAGCGAATGAGGCAGATAGAGAGGCACAGAAAGGCAGATAGAAACAGATAGACAGGCAGACAGAGGCAGATAGAGAAGCACAGAAAGGCAGATAGAAACAGATAGACAGGCAGATAGAGAAGCACAGAAAGGCAGATAGAAACAGATAGAGCGGCAGCGAATGAGGCAGACAGGAAGGTACAGAAAGGCAGATAGAAACAGATAGACAGGCAGACAGAGGCAGAGGGTCACAGAGAGAGTCGGTCCGAGAGGCACATAAAGGCAAAGAGAGTGCCATAGAGAGGCATATATAGAGGAAAGGAGAGAGGAGGATAGGGTGAAACAGACAGAGACAGATAGATAAAGAGCAGATAAGGAGGCAGTCAGAGAGAGAGACATCGAGATACAGAAAGGAACAATGAGACAGAGAGAAGCAGATAGAGAGACAATCAGAGAGAAAGAGATGTAAACACAGAGAAAGAGACAGAGAGAGGCACAAAGAGAGACAGGGGCGGAAGGGGATCATTCCTGCAAGTAATAACTCAATGTTTAAGATGTTTAAGTATGGAACTGATGACATTAAATGTGATGACAGAATCTCTAATGTAAAGCTTTGGGAGAGAACTGATCAAGTGCCAGTGGACCAAGAGGTGAAGAAAAGACGCCGGCGATGGATATGACACACGTTGAGGAAAACAAGATAACTAGAAATGCTTTTCATCGGGGCCCAAGAAATGGTTCTTCTAATCAGAAATTCCTCATCTAGAGAAGAGTTCGGGCAAGAAACATTGCTGGTGATAAACACATTGTTCTTCACAACATAAATTTGCCATATCCGAAATTGCCTTAGGCGGTCTGCACTGTAGGCTACGATCGAAAGAGGACGGCCGCAAAAACTATGGATCGACAACATTAAAGACACTTTCCGCCTTTACGGCATGACAATAGCCAGTGGCAGTCAGCGTGCACTGGATTGCAAATTATTTCTCCCCACGTCGCTTAACGGCAGAAGTGGTTGATGACAATGATGAGTGTCATTATTGAACTACCGGGTCCCCTAGTCTCGCGTGAGTAGCGCCCCAAACGTCTCCCAGCGCGCACAAGCCGGTTCCAGAAAACGAGCGCCCCATTTGCGGTTGGGTATTTTTTGGCCAGTGAACACATCGGACATTATATTTCATTTCTTGATAATTTAGTTCATGGATTTGTGAATGCTTTTTTCTGTTAACGTGTTCTAAGTTGGAGTTATTTCAACATATATTAAATATATTAATTGTTTATTTTAAGCTGTGTTTATGAACGAGATAGCGTGTTATGTAAGTTTTCTTCTTCTTCTTCTTCTTCTTCTTCTTCTTCTTCTTCTTCTTCTTCTTCTTCTTCTTCTTCTTCCTCTTCTCCTTCTTCTTAATCCTAAACTTCTCTTTCTTCTACTTCTTTTTCGTCGTCTTTTCTTTTCTTCTCATTTTTCTTCTCATTTTTCTTTTCTTCTTCTTCTTCTTCTTCTTCTTCTTCTTCTTCTCCTTCTTCTCCTTCTTCTTCATCTCGAACTTCTTTTTTTTTTCTTCTTCGTCGTCTTCTTCTTCTTCTTCTTGTTCTTCTTGTTCTTCTTTTTCTTTTCTTATCTTTTCTTCTTCTTCTTCTTCTTCTTCTTCTTCTTCTTCTTCTTCTTCTTCTTCTTCTTCTTCTTCTTCTTCTTCTTCTTCTTCTTCTTCTTCTCCTCCTCCTCCTCCTCCTCCTCCTACTTCTTTTGCTTCTTCTCCCAGAATTGACATTGCTGCACCCAGGATATTTCCCCGTGCACTCCGTCTTCTTCCTCGTTAGCCAACAA